TTACTTCTTATCTCTATCTTCTTAGTCTTTTACTCTTATCTTCTTATCTTCTTATGCTTCTTTTCTTCTTATCTTCTTATCTTCTTACTTCTTATCTTCTTATCTTCTTATCTTTCTTATCTTCTTATCTCTTACTTCTTATCTCTTATCTTCTTATCTTCTATCTTCTTATCTTCTTATGTTCTTATGTTCTTATGTTCTTATCTTCTTATCTTCTTATCTTCTTATCTTCTTATGTTCTTATGTTCTTATGTTCTTATGTTCTTATTTTTTCTTATGCTCTTAATGTTTCTTATCTACTTATGTTTTTCTTAATTCTTAGTCTTTATCTTCTTATTTAGTTCTTATGTCCTTATGTTCTTATGTTCTTATCTTCTTATCTTCTTATGTTCTTATGTTCTTATGTTCTTATGTTCTTATGTTCTTATGTTCTTATCTTCTTATCTTCTTATCTTCGATCTTCTTATCATCTTATCTTCTTATCTTCTTATTCATTCTTATGTTATGTTCTTATGTTCTTATGTTCTTATGTTCTTATGTTCTTATGTTCTTATGTTCTTATGTTCTTATATTCTTATGTTCTTATGTTCTTATCTTCTTATCTTCTTATCTTCTTATCTTCTTATGTTCTTATGTTCTTATGTTCTTATCTTCTTATCTTCTTATGTTCTTATGTTCTTATGTTCTTATGTTCTTATGTTCTTATGTTCTTATATTCATATGTTCTTATATCACTTATTTCTTAGGTTCTTATGTTCTTTATGTTCTTATTTCTTATCTTCTTATCTTCTTATCTTCTTATCTTCTTATCTTCTTATCTTCTTATCTTCTTATCTTCTTATCTTCTTATCTTCTTATATTCTTATGTTCTTATGTTCTTATGTTCTTATCTTCTTATGTTCTTATCTTCTTATCTTCTTATCTTCTTATCTTCTTATCTTCTTATCTTCTTATCTTCTTATCTTCTTATCTTCTTATCTTCTTATATTCTTATCTTCTTATCTTCTTATCTTCTTATCTTATCTTCTTATCTTCTTATCTTCTTATCTTCTTATCTTCTTATCTTCTTATCTTCTTATCTTCTTATCTTCTTATCTTCTTATCTTCTTATCTTCTTATCTTCTTATCTTCTTATCTTCTTATCTTCTTATCTTCTTATCTTCTTATCTTATCTTCTTATGTTCTTATGTTCTTATCTTCTTATCTTCTTATGTTCTTATGTTCTTATGTTCTTATCTTCTTATCTTCTTATCTTCTTATCTTCTTATCTTCTTATCTTCTTATCTTCTTATCTTCTTATCTTCTTATCTTCTTATCTTCTTATCTTCTTATCTTCTATCTTCTTATCTTCTTGAATCTTCTTTATCATTCTGTATCTTCTATCTTCATATCTTCTTATCTTCTTACTTCTTACTTCTATCTTCTTATCTTCCTTATCTTCTTATATCTTATTATCTTCTTTATCTTCTACTTCTTACTCTTATCCTTCCTTATCTCTATCTTCTTAGGCTTCTATCTTCTTATCTTCTTATCGTCTATCTTCTTACTTCTTATCTTCTATCTTCAGTGAGAGGAAGGAGGTGATGTATTTTATTATTTTAGTATTTGATTGCTTAGATTAGTAGATGATTATTTACTTATCTTCTTATATTATTAATTCTTATCTTCTTTCTTCTATCTTCGTTATGTTCCTTATGTTCTTATGTTCTTATGTTCTATTTCTTATGTTCTTAATCTTCTACTTCTTATGCTTATGTCTTATGTTCTTACTTCTTATGTTCTTATGTTCTTATGTCTTATGTTCTTATCTTCTTATCTTCTTATGTTCTTTATGTTCTTATTTCTTATCTTATCTTTAGTTCCTTTATGTTCTTATTTTTATTATGTTATTATGTTATTATTCTTTATGTTTAGGGTGAGGAGGTGTGAGGTTGTGAGTTAGTTCTACTTATCTTCATTAGTTCTTATGTTCTTATGTTCTTATGTTCTTATGTTCTTATGTTCTTATGTTCTTATGTTCTTATGTTCTTATGTTCTTATCTTCTTATCTTCTATCTTCTTATCCTTTTTTTCTTCTTATCTTCTTCTTCCTTATCTTCTTATCTTTCTATCTTCTTATGTTCTTATATTCTTATCTTCTTATCTCTTATACTTCTATTTGTTATCTTCTTATCGTCTTATCCATCTTATCTTCTTAGCTTTCTTATCTTCTTATCTTCTATCTTCTTAATCTTCTATCTTCTTATCTCTTAACAATGTCTTATGTTCTTATCTTCTTATGTTCTTATGTTCTTATCTTCTTATCTTCTTATCTTCTTATCTTCTTATCTTCTTATCTTCCTATCTTCTTATCTTCTATTTCTTATCTTCTATCTCTTAATCTCTTAATCTTCTTATCTCTTACTTCTTATCTTCGTTATCTCTTATCTCTCTATCTTCTTATCTTCTTATCTTCTTATGTTCTTATGTTCTTATCTTCTTATCTTCTTATGTTCTTATCTTCTTATCTTCTTATCTTCTTATCTTCTTATCTTATCTTTCTTCTTATCTTCTATCTCTTTACTTCTTATCTTCTTATCTATCTTCTATATCTTCTTATCTTTCTTATCTTATCTTCTTTATCTCTTATCTCTTATCATCTTATCTTATCTTCTATCTTCTATCTTCTTATCTCTTATATTCTTATCTTCTTATACTTCTTAATCTCATTATCTTACTCTTATCTTCTATCTTTTTATCTTACTTCTTATCTTCTTATCTTCTATCTGCTTATCTTCTAATCTTCTTATCTTCTTATCTCTTATCTCTTATCTTCTTATCTTCTTATCTTCTATCTTCTTATCATTCCTATCTTCTCTTATCTTCTTTATCTTCTTATCTTCTATCTTATTCTTTTCTTCATCTTATCTTCCTATCTCTTATCTTCTTCTCTCTTATCTTCTTATCTTCTTATCTTCTTATCCTTCTTATCTTATAATCTTATCTTCTTATCTTCTTATCTTCTTATCTTGCTATCTTCTTTCTTCTTATCTATCTCTTATCTTCTTATCTCTTATCTTCTTATATTGCTATCTTCTATCTCTTATCTTCTTATCTTATCTCTATCTTCTTATCGTCTTATCTTCTTATCTCTTATCTTCTTATCTTCTTATCTATCTTCTTATCTCTTATCTTCTTATCTTATCTTCTTATCTCTGTATCTTATCTTCTATCTCTTATCTCTTATCTTCTTTATCTTATCTTCCCTTTAAAAAATTCTTTTTTTTTTTTTTTTTTTTTTTAAAAAATCTATTTTCTTATCTAATCTTCTTATCTTCTTATCTTCTTATCTTCTCATCTTCGTTATCTTCTTATCTTTCTTATCTTGCTTATCTTCTTATCTTCTATATCTCTTACTTCTTATCTTCTTATATCTTATCTTCTTATCTTCTTATCTTCTTATCTTATCTTCTTATCTTATCTTCTTATCTTCTTATCTTATCTTCTTATCTTCTTATCTTCTTATCTTCTTATCTTATCTTCTTATCTTCTTTTCTTATCTTCTTATCTTCTTATCTTCTTATCTTCTTATCTTCTTATCTTCTTATCTTCTTATCTTCTTATCTTCTTATCTTCTTATCTTCTTATCTTCTTATCTTCTTATCTTGGACGACCTATTACCTGCCTCTGGCTTTTTTATATGCAAAGTAATTATGTACATAATTAATTAGGTAAAAGACTCAGGTATCCCCTGGTAATTAGGTGTCTATTTATTTTAATATTTTCTCCATAATATAAGACACCTGAGGAATTTATTTTTGTTAATAGAGAGAGAGAGTCCTTGAAGAGGGCGCAGAGCTCTTGATCCGAGGGACTAGAGCTGTCTTCCCCCTTCTTTCATTCCATGGATCAAACCTCATTGCTTACCTTATGGGTTTAGAGCTTTCCCTATTGAGCCTCTCGCATCATATTCGCCTGAGAGGGGGCGTCGCCCCCTAGTGCCCTCAAGTGGGGAGATTATCTCCCCTTACCCCCAGAGAGAGAGAGGGGGCGTCGCCCCTCCCCTTTAAATGTCAGGGGTCTCAGTGGGTGGTAGACAAGATTAACTACACTACACTGATCACATCTGGCTATACCACCTGCCCATTACCCCTTAGATCCTGCCCATTACCCCTTAGATCCTGCCCATTACTCTTAAATCCTACCCATTACCCCTTAGATCCTGCCCATTACCCCTTAGATCCTGCCCATTACCCCTTAGATCCTGCCCATTACCTCCTTAAATCCTACCCATTACCCCTTAGATCCTGCCCATTACCCCTTAGATCCTGCCCATTACCCCTTAGATCCTGCCCATTACTCTTAGATCCTGCCCATTAACCCTTATATCCTGCCCATTGCCCCTTAGATCCTGCCCATTAACCCTTAGATCCTCCTGTGCGCTGTTAAACAGCCCAAGTACCATGGCTGTAACACTGTTTAACAGTGTAACACTGTTTAACAGTGTAATACTGTTTAACAGTGCCATCTGCTCTAGAGCAGATGGCACTGTCTGGCAGGCACTGTGCATGAAGGCCGCCCAGGTACACTACACTGGTGCCAAATCTGTCTGCCTCAGACACCCCAGTACCAAACACAGCATACCATGTACATGACACCTCTCCCAGGGGATATAAACCGATATCCCTTACTGGGTATCCCTCTACAGGGAGGGAAAGGGATACCCAAATAAGGATATAGATTCAAGACATGTGGGTATCCAAAATTTTGAGATAGGCCTTTCCAAACACGGAATTTATTGGCTTAAATGGCCCTCTCAAATCTCGTGAAGGCCATTTGAATGGCTTCTCAGTGTATATACACTGAGAAAGTGTATGGGCCATACATTCTGGGGAATGGGAGACAATCACGTTTGATCCGAGGAAAGGGGTAGCTCCATTTCCTGCAATCAAGAGCTCTCCTGGCTAATTATACCCCGAGGTGGCCCTGGTATAGATTTGGCACTGGTGAGGTAGGCAGTGTGGTGGTGGTGCCAGGCTGTGTGGTGGTGGTTGTTGTGGTTGTGGTGGTAGTGCCAGGCTGTGTGGTGGTAGTGGTGGTAGTGCCAGGCTGTGTGGTGGTAGTGCCAGGCTGTGTGGTGGTAGTGCCAGGCAGTGTTCTGGTGGTGGTGGTGGTGGTGCCAGGCTGTGTGGTGGTGGTGGCACTAGTGCCAGGCAGTGTACTGGTGGTGGTGATAGTGGTGGTAGTGGTGGTAGTGCCACCACGGCATCGTTTGTGGATATTACCAAGACCAGAACACAGAGTGCTCTGTGTTCATTTCCACTCAATAGGTAATATTATTATTATTATTATTATTATTATTATTATTATTATTATTATTATTATTATTATTATTATTATTATTATTATTATTATTGGAGTTTAGTCCCTTATAAATGTATATTCAGAAATACCTGTCAGTATATACAATGAGAGACAGTAGGTTCATGAAGGCTCAGTAGGCCTTGTGTAGTGCTGGTGTAGCTTGCGCCAGGGTTCAACGTAATCTAGGCTCAATAACTTGGTATTGTGGTAGGTTCTCGTGTGCAGGTTAGATTCTGAAGGTTCCTCTAGCCATAGGCACATTTTCCAGGCTTTGAAAAATAGGTCAAATATTTAGCAATTGAGTTGTAGGAACTGGGAAGACTTGCTAGATTGTGTTCTGTTTACAAATGGTCCGAACGTAGAAGAAAGGGGCTTATCACAACGTCTCGGACCGATTTGGGACATTTACAAAGTCACACTGACTTGACTGACTGATTCGTCAGGAAGTGAGTCCTGACACGGGTCTTAAACCTAAGATGACCTGTCTGAGGATCTCAGAGATGTCGATATAATTCAGGTGTTCTAGGGCCGTGATCAGGGTCTTGCTGTAGTCCCTGTGCTCTGCACGGCGAAAGGATTTGTCTGTACAACAATGGGCTGAGGTCATTAGGGCCCCCCATGAATGTCTCTGGGCCCTCTAGGCCTCTATTTTATCTATCACGATAGTTCTGAGCGGCTGTTTGTTGATACATAAGTGTATCAGGTCGCTTATGATGTCAGTGAAGCAGGTGATTGTCGACATCATTTGATGGCTCAGGGGTAATAAGGGATGTCCTGGTGTGTTCTTGGGCTACAGTTTTTTTACTGGTGACTATTGTGGTGTTAGGGTTGACGAGTTGGTTTTAGTCTGTTCTTGTATCATGGTGTCTGTTGGCTGCCGTTGTTGGGTGGGAATTTTGAGCAGGAGAATTGGAAGCTGGCTGATGAAGGACACGGCTCCGGCTCTGATGTATACTCGGCTTCCTTCGTTGTTGTGGCTGGGGAAGTGGCACTGGATTCCATGTTAGTGTAGCCTCCTCTGGACGAGGCTGCTGCTCAGTGGTGGGGCTCTATTTGATGCTGGAGGCTGGACCCTCTGGACGAGGCTGCTGCTCAGTGGTGGGGCTCTATTAGATGCTGGAGGCTGGACAACCAGGGGTTTCCATGCTGCAATGGCCCGGCGGAGCCTTTCCAGGCAGTGCAGGTTCCAGGCAGTCCAGGTTCCAGGCATGATGCTTCTTGCTGCAGTTCAGACACCGAGGTTCCGTAGCCTCTCATATTTTTAGTTTATCCAGGAAGTTCTTGGTCATGTGGGACCTACTGCCGATGTCACATACTTTCTTAAACTGACATCAGGCAGTAAAGTGGTCGTACCTGTGGCCCTTGAAGCACCTCAGAGGTTCAGGGTTGTACGTCCTAACCCGGTATTTTCACCAGGAATAGAGATCCAGTTAAGCTGGGAGAGGTCATCTATGTCACATCAAGACCTGCCTCGTAGTTACACTGTCGATCTTCTTGGCTCAGAGTCAAGTCACAGGATGTGTTTGGTACTAAGCATTGCATCTAGAGTCATGTCTAGTAGGTAGCGCACTAGTTCGCTAGTACAACTGGTGATTCCAGGTGATTCACCTTCTGCAGTACCTCACTAAATTCTGTGTTTCTGGAACCGAGATTTGGGGACATATCTTGGGACTCTCCTTTCAGATTTGGGTAAATATTTCAGGACATATTTCTTCTCGTGGTGGATTCAAGCACAATTCTGGAGTGCCATGATATCCTTTGTTTATCAGCCAGAATTTGTCGCCTGATGACCTGGGTTTCCCGACCTGAGTCAAGATAACATTGTGTCACCTCTGGGTCATATTTCTAAATATGTGACCTCTTTCTTTCGTAAGAAGCCATGTGCATCCGTGTGCCTGTCTCGTGACTGAGACTTATATAGATCTGACAGACAAAAGTTAGGTAGCCAGTACATATATAGACGAGCGGGATAAGGACAGGAACAAGAGAGAAACAAAAGAAGTAACGGAAGAGATAAGGATGGTAGTGGAAGGAGTAGTGGCAGAATAAACAGTGGTAGTAGCAAGTAGGGAGATAGTTAAGTGGCACACGAGAGGAAGGGGAGTGAAGGGTGAAGGGAGGCAATGGTAATGGTAGCAACAATGACATACTACTATA